ACCCTCCCTTCTCCCTGAGTGGCACCTCTCAGCATCCTTGGGAGACATTGCCTCCATCTCGACATCATTTTTCAGAGCCGGCCAGTTTCTATGGCAACGGAGAGATGGAAAGATGAGCGGTGAGCGGGCGCGAGGCTGGAGTGAGCGCTCCGGGTGGTGGTGTGTGTCCCTGACGTCACCCTCCATGCGCCTGGATAGGATGACTCGGGCTGCTCCCATTCAGGGCTGCTGGCCGGGCTGCCAGGGTCTCGGCCAGCTCTGCACATCGCCTCCCTGCCTGCTCCTCCGCCCACCCTCCCCCCGGAGTTCCCTTTTCCTCGCCCCTCTTCTGGTGGGGCTGCAGGCCGGCACTGAGCATGCACAGCTTATCCGGGGCGCGTTCCCGGACGCTCCCCCGCCCCGGGCTCTGGGAGGGCAGGGCGGCAGGGCAGCGCTCTCCTTGACGTGGATGGCTCGGTGAAGCCCACCCTGGTCTGGGCAAGAATCCCGACTATGCAGAAATTCATCGAAGCGGATTATTATGAGCTAGACTGGTACTATGAAGAATGCTCGGACGGTAATGAGGGCCCCTGCACAGCACAGCACAGCAGGGATGTGGAGGGCATTGTCTCCCGGGAGGGGGGAGGGAGACGGGCAGAGGGAGGGGGCCCTGGGAGCAGCGCCGCCAGCAGACATGCGTGGCTCTGACCGCTTCCCAGGCGCGGTGGGGGATGGCAGGTGGGCAGGGCTCACGCCCCCGGGAGGCTCCTCTGCGGGTGGGCGGAAGGGGAGATGGTGTTGCGGTGCTGGGCTCTCGAGCATTGTAAGTTGCATTGGATTCTCTCCAGGGTGAGGTGTGAGTGTGGCGTTGGTGCGTGTGTGTGCAAGTGGAGCTGTGTTTGCTGTGCTCGCGCTGTCGGAGGGGCGAGGGGACCGTGTGTTGGAGAGGTGGCTCTCTGGACCGGCAGCAGCAGGCCCGGAGGGACTGCCCTTTCCTGAGCTCAGACCTGCCGCCCAGGGAGACCCGAGAGGATGCGGCAGCAGCTCCCAGGTAGCAGGTGGTTCAGAGGAATTTGCTTATGGGATCCACAGAGATGGGGTATGTGGGGTGGGGGGGTGTTGGGAGGGGCAGGGAGAGACCGCATCCTTCCGCCAGGTCTCAGTTTGTGCCCAGAGGGCGTGGCACATTCCAGAGGACGCTGGGTGTAGCTTGTGTGGCTCCACCGGCCTCTGCAGGGTTCAGGCCACAGGGGAGGGGTCCCCGTGGTGCTGGGGAATGAAATCGTGTCTGTCAAAACTCATCCGTCGTCTTTAAAATGACCCTCAAACCACACGCCTTCACATGCACACGCAGCACACAGAAAGGACACAGTGCATATGTTCACGATGAGGGTCTGTCTCCCAGGGAGGACCTGTTCCCAGCCCCACGTGAGTCCTGCATAGGTAAGGCGACGGCTGTTGAATGGAAGAGGGAGGTGCAGATGGCTCGCACGGTGGTGCCTTCGGTTAACCTGAATGATGTAAGAGGCTGGGAGCTGGCCTCATTAGAAAGCTGAGCAATTGCATAATTATCTCTGATCTGCGGATGTCTGCCCTGACCATGGGCTCAGCAGAGGGGCCCCGAGGCTCCCCTGGGTTGCTGGGGGGGGATTGAAAGGTGCCGAGCAGCCTCCCCAGTTGAGACCCACCGGCCCCCAGCGTTAGACGAAGACAGTGTGGTGTCGAGCCTGTGTCTGTCTTTAAGTATCTTGAGTCATGATGGTGGTGGGCAGCTCTCGAGGTCTCGGGGGACAAGGTGACTGGCTTCTTGTTTTCTTTTGCCTCTATTATTCTGGAAGCCAGTTCCCATCCCGCGACCTATAGTGGTGCTTCTTTCCGGAAAGCATCATTGAGCTCTTTGTTGTTTCCTTGGTGATTTGTGACTCACTGAACCCTCCATAACTTTTAAAAAAATACATTTTTATTCATTTCAGAGAGGAAGAGAGAGGGAAAGGGAGAGAGAGAAGCATCAATGATGAGAGCGAATCATTGATTGGCTGCCTCCTGCACGCCCCCTACTGGGGATCGAGCCCACAACCTGGGCATGTGCCCTGACCGGGAATTGAACCGTGACCTCCTGGTTCACAGGTTGATGCTCAACTGCTGAGCCACACTGGCGGGGCTCCATAACTCTTTGAAGTGTGGGCCATTGGCTACAGCAGAGCACCTGTCCCTGGGCCTGTGGGTGAGTTGGGTGTGGCCACGGCTCATACCGATCCATCCTAGAAGCGGGGGAGGAAGGTTCCTTACAGTCTTGACCCAGTTGCTATGCTGTCCGGCTCTCTTTACACCCTCGTCTGTGGAGATAAAGCCGGTCCCGGTGCCGGTCAATCTGGAGGGCGAGAGGAGGCTGCTTTATCTGTGCGGCCGTCAGAAGGATTTTCTTACCCAGTATTTTCTCCGTTGAGTCTTTTGGCCCCGAGGCAGCCGGGTCTCTCTTCTTGCAACAGGAAAGGAAGATGGAAGAAGAGGTGGCTCATCTGTTGACGGGTAAATACATGTTGCTTGTAGTGACGGTGTGGATGTGTGTTGAACTAAATGCATGGCCTTTACCCACCACCTCCATTTGGATGAAGGGAGAGAGCCATAGGGACGGGATTTCCTGGGACAACTGGCATTTTCACAATCCCGTTGTACAGAGAGTTAGCAAATCACACCACGGTTTATTGAGCACCGAAGGGTTGCTGGGCACCGAAGGGTTGCTGGTTTGATTCTCGGTCAGGACACACGCCAGGGCTGTGGGCTTGATCTCTGGTAGGGGGTTCGCAGGAGGCAGGCGATTGATGTTTTTCTCTCTCCCTCTCCCTTCGTCTCTCTCTAAAAATCAATTTTTAAAAAAGATAGCAAATAGGGATGGAAGGAGAACAAAAGCCCAGAAATACATAGTTCAGGAAACTCACCAAAAAAGGGGTGGCTTTTAAGGACACACTAACGTTGTCATCGTTCCCATGGCTCTAACCCAGCGGTTCTCAACCTGTGGGTCGCGACCCCTTTGGCGGTCGAAAGACCCTTTCACAGGGGTCACCTAAGACCATCCTGCATATCAGATATTTACATTACGATTCATAACAGTAGCAACATTACAGTTATGAAGTAGCAACGAAAATAATTTTATGGTTGGGGGGTCACCACAACATGAGGAATTGTATTTAAAGGGCCAGAAGGTTGAGAACCACTGCTCTAGCCAGTTGGACCCTGTCCCGGCAGGTTAGTCTGGAAATGCCGTTTGCCTCTGTATCTGTCGCTTCTTTGAAATTGCAGACCAGCCCTAACCGGTTTGGCTCAGTGGATAGAGCATCGGCCTGCGGACTCAAGGGTCCCAGGTTCGATTCTGGTCAAGGGCATGTACCTTGGTTGCAGGCACATCCCCAGTGGGGAGTGTGCAGGAGGCAGCTGATCGATGTTTCTCTCTCATCGATGTTTCTAACTCTCTATCCCTCTCCCTTCCTCTCTGTAAAAAATCAATAAAATATATTTAAAAAAAAAAAAAAAGAAATTGCAGACCAGCCTTCACCTCCCAGTCCCGACCTTCCCGGGGAGGAGGCCGGGGGTGGGAGCAGACACACAGCTTGGTGGAGCCTCCTGTGTCCTTTGGCATTGGAGTCCTTAATGAGGAAGACTTCTAGGGAACTTCCCATACGAATACCAAAAGCTGAGTCAGATATTTAGAAAGAGATGCGAAATCATCACCTGTGTCCCAGTTACTGACTGGTACTTACCTCGCAGGGTCAACCCTGAAAAAAGTAGTGGAGGTGGTGGGACAAAGAACCGCAGGACAGTTAGGGCCCCTCCTTGAAAGGTGAAATGAGAAGTGGCTGCCCTGTTTCTTACCGCTGAGCTTTAGGGGAGTTTTGCTCCGTGTGGGATGGCTGCAGGCTCCTCCCTGCCCAGTGTTGGCTGTGGCATCTTACGCCCCATCCCCCACCTGTCAAACACACAGGAAGACCCCAGAGGGACACGAAGGGCCGGGACTCAGGATTTTAAGAAATCGGAGGGGTTGGCTGCCCGGCACCTTAGGCGATTTTTAGAGATTTGAATTAGCCAGCCGTCACAGAATGTCCACCGTGTACAGTTTAAATTCTGGTGCCAAACAGGGTCATGGTTCTGGATACTGCACGTGTCCCATCTCTATTGGCAGAACCTCGAAAGCCTGGCAGATCATGAAAAGCACCCGCGCGTTAATAAAGCAGGAGACCCACGCCCAGAGCAGGAGAGGCTCTGAGAATTCTGAATTTTTAGCACCTGCTTTTGGGGATGCTGACATCAGGCGTGTGGCGGAAACTTGGGGCCGTTGTCAGTGGCGACCAGCCCCAGGCACGGGGGTCCGGAAATAATTTCTCAGGTCTGCTGCAGAATCTTATGTTGTTTCTTGGCTATGCTGGCCACTTTAAAAAAAATGTATTCTTATAAAGAGAAGGAGGGCTTTTTAATTTTCAAAAAGGCTTGGGTTTAAGCATGTGCTCTTAAAGGAACAAGGCGTACTTCTGCTGCTATTTGAGAGAGAGATGGGATAGCAGAGCACTGGCCTGGCGTTTCATTTGAGGTCTGTTTTGTGCTCTCCGTGGCTGCAGGGTGGGGACCTCCCAGGGCCTCAGCGAGCCTCTGTCAACCCGGATTCTCCGTCTGGAAAACGGGGATCAGAATTCTGTAGATGTCGCGAAGAGGGTAAAGCGTGTCCTTGAAGCAAGAGCTCTTTGTAAGCAGTGGCGTGCCAGGCCAGTGCGTCATGGTATTTCCTCAGAAATGTACTCGCTATTAAGTTCCTTTAAAAAATCCCTTTGGAAAGGTAAAGGGTCGATGGAACAAAGTATAGTATTTTTTTAAAAATATATTTTATTGATTTTTAAAATGTCTGGAAAACGGGGATCAGAATTCTGTAGATGTCGCGAAGAGGGTAAAGCGTGTCCTTGAAGCAAGAGCTCTTTGTAAGCAGTGGCGTGCCGGGCCAGTGCGTCATGGTATTTCCTCAGAAATGTGCTCGCTATTAAGTTCCTTTAAAAAATCCCTTTGAAAAGGTAAAGGGTCGATGGAACAAGGTATAGTATTTTGACTACCCGTTCCTTGCTGCAGTTATTTTAACCTTTTAAATGGATTTTTAGAGGAAGAGGAAGGGAGAGAGAGAAAGAAGCATTGATGTGAGAGAGAAAATGTGGTGGGCCGCCTCCTGCATGCCCCCTACCAGGGATCGAGCCTGCAGCCCGGGCACGTGACGTGACCGGGAATCGAACAGCAACCTTTCGGGGCGCAGGACGATGTCCGACCCACTGAGCCACGCGGGCCAGGGGGGCAGTTATGTTTGCCATCATCCAGCCTCCTTTCCTCCTTTGACATGTTATAGCTTTGAAGGTCGGGGCAGGAGATGGTGTAGCTAATAGCGATTTTCTAAATGGGGAGACTCAGATAGGTGGCTGGAGCGGGTCCTGTGACCTCTGGCTTTACGGTGGAACTCCACAGCAGTGCGCCAGGGCAGCCAGGCGTGCCGTTGCTCACCGGATGGCAGCGACCTCTAACACGCCACCCCAAGGTCAGGGTGGCTGG